TCTGGTGAAATTCTGGTGAAAATCCTTCTGTACACATGGAAAAATTGTAAACAAAAAATCTTTGCATTCGAATATCGAAATTATCTTCTCACCAAAGTCTAACACGTTATGCGAAATTTTCATAAAAAGTTATGACAAGAATTTAATATTTACCTATGTAGGTACCATAATATTAAACGATATCGTCTGAAAATTTAATGCTAGCCACGCCACAACTTACATTTAATGTGAGTGGAGTAATAAAACAACCAATATGTGACTTGACCATCTTTAGTTGAAGTGAGCTCATCAGACAGCATTGCTTTTGCATGAATGGAGGAAAGTTCAAGCATAGAAGGCTTTTTAAGAACAAGGGTGTACTTTGAGAGGACTCCCTTTTGGCTGATTTGAAATCGTTTATTTCACCTAATTTACATTATGATTTGTGAATATGTATGTCGAATGAATAAGTTAGGTTATAATTTATTTTTCTAAGACGATATTTCTAGGACGTGGCACGACCAGGGACGGCCCTTTTTTTTTTAGTAAAAAAAAAAAATTTCTTGTGTAATTTTTTTTTTATGTATTAGCTCGATCTGTAATCCGATCCAAGATCCGTCCCTGAGCAGGACTAACAATTTTTTGACGGTTCGTATCAAATTTGTGTAACCTAATATTTTTGTAGGACCAAGCTAGACTTTGAACAACACAATGATACAATCGACATCCACCACTATTAACGAATACTTTAATAGCTGAAGTATAGCTTTAACAAATTTAAATTAGTTACATGATGTCTTTTTTTTTCCCATGCAATACATACAACAACTATTTTAAATTGTCATTTTCTTACATTGGTAACGTCTCTAATTGTTAACTATGTAATACAACAACTATTTTAAAACGTCGTTTGTTTCTCATGCAATACAACAACTATTTTAAATCATCATTTTTTATCGTCATATTCCATGTTTTTTTCTTAAGGCTGCTATTAATGTAAAGTTGACTTGTAGAAATGAAATAATGTGTAAAATCCCCAAAAAAAATTAAAATCCACATATTGTATGTGTGTGTTTGTTGCTTGCAAGTTGGAAAGGAAAGGTTTAAGAGTGAAGGCAAGCAACCATGTGCCCGCTTATGATACATGATATTGTTTGGCAACAAAGAAAGGAGAATACTCAAGTAGACTAATTCCAATTGGTCACAACTTCTTCACGGGGACCTTCCTTCATCTTCGAATAAGGTACACATGAGCGCAATTATTTGAGTGTCTTGTAACACAAAGAGTTTTAAACTCGACTTGAGCATTTGAAATATTAAAAAGGTCAATCGATATATATCGACATAAAAAAAAAATAACTTGTTTAGGGTTTTATAGTTTAAAGTTTTGAACTTTAAATTTTCGTAGCGACTTCCATACTATTGAATAATAAGTTTATATTGTGCTTGTTTGATAAATATTTGTTGAATTTAAAAAGTGTTTTTTTTTTTTCTTTACTTGGTTAAAAAATAGGAAAATTTATGAAAAAGTTCAAAAAATAATATCTTTTTCAGAAAATATGTTGTGAGAAATGAGAGTTGGAGACAAGTGATTCACAAAGAATCAAAATCAAATAAGAGCTTATATAGGCGTGTAATTGATGCAATGTGAGAAGCTTATTCTAGGTGTTGTGTTAACTATGCCCAGAATTTCTGATACCAATTGTTGAGAATTTAAAGATCAACGTATTGCTCGATACCACTTAATATGAAATCAACCATCGAATTGAGATGTTGAAATTATATGACACAATAATGAAATATTTGATCACAAGTAAAATAATAAAAGAAGACAAGAAAAGAAGATAGAGAAATCAGGAGATTTTATTGCACCACAAATAATGAAGATGGAGAAGTATTACAATGATCTTAAAAGCTAGCAATCACTTTTCTCACTCTATAAAATTATATAAAAGAGCCTAATATATATAGGGAGCATGTATGGACATCCAAAACCCTAATAGATGAGTTGAAGTTGAAATTGAATTTTAAAAATATGTTAAAACACGAAAAGGGCATGTATCGAATAACCATGTCGCTCTAGCGATAAGCTAGTAACAGGTCCATCGATCGAGCGCCAGGCGAGCGACCAAGTCTCCAGAGAAAACTTGCAGGTGTTGCTCGAGCGGCTAACTAACGGTAGGCTAACGAAAATATGACTACTTTTTTTTCAGTCCATAATTTCAACATTTTGAAGTCCAATACAAATTTCAACTCCAAATAAGGTTTCCAAATAGAATTTCAACTTGAATCAGACTCCAATAACATTTCAAACTAAATTTCTCTTGACGTGCACTTCAATTAAAGTTTTTCAATTACTTTAACAATGAATTCGGGTTAGACTCAAATTTTAACATTAAGTATAGGAGAAATTAAATTAATTACATTTATATCATTTTTCTTATTTTCAATTATTGAATTTTTATGACAATTATAGTTTGTTTTCTCATTGAGAAAAGTGAAAACAATAAGAGGCTATTTTTTTCATGTTTCATCTATATGTGTTTAGTTTTGAATTCATTTTGGATTTTGTGTTTTGAGTGTCCATTTTGAGATTGTTGAAAACATATTTTTTTTGCCATTTTTAAAAATTGTTTTGAAAAATAAAAAATCCCAAAATGCATTTACTTTTTCCCCCGAATTTTCTCACGTCTTTCTCTCTTCTTTCCTCCTCTATGTAACTTGCTGAAACCCCATTCTTCGACCACCTTCTTCATCGTAAGCCACCATCGATCGACTACCCACCTCCAAACGGCTCAGAAACAACCCTCAATTTAGTCTAAACAACAAGTAATCGAAATGAGGGTAGCAATCCTGTTTCGCGCAGTCCGAAGAAATCAATGATTTCGACGACGTCCGTTCAACCCATGTGGGTCAACTTCCTCTCCCTCTAGCACACCTAACCCCAACCATGGGTCAAGCTCAATTTCAACCACAGCTCGCTGATTTTATGGCTGAACTTAGGGTTGAAAACTGAAAATTTGTGTTGATGGTAGACGTGGTTTGTGATGATGATGGTGGTTGGTGTTGATGATGGTGGTGGTACCGTGTGGTGGCAATTTTTGTGGTGACAACTGTAGTTGGTGATCTGGTGGTTGTGTGGTGGTGGTGTATTGTATGGTGGCGATTTTTGTGGTGGTAGATGTGGTAGTGGTTCTGGCGACGGTGGTGTTTGGGCTGCTGCGACGACGACGGTTGGTGGTGTTTTGTAGGCGGTAATGATGGTGGTTGGAGGTGATAGTAATTGAAAACAACAAAAATGCGTTTAAAAAGTTTTGGCCAAAGTATAACTGAAAACCCGCAAAACGACAAATTTGTCGTTTTGAGTTTTCTTTGTAAATTTCAAACTTGTTTTCAAAAATGCTTTTTCGAAAATAGGAAAGAGAACGCATTTTTACCGTTTTGAAAAATCGAAAACAGAAAACAGCTTGAAAACGCCAAAGAGAACGGACCCTAATTTTTCTTATCTATTCGACTCTACATAAAGAGGTTATCTCTTTGTTGTAAGACACATTTTTATCATTGAAATACAATTGCAAGTCTCCCCATTCTCTTTCTTCTCTCTCGACCTCTAGTTCTTCTTTAATTTACTTACCCATAGTGCCCTTACGTTCGTAATCAGTAATATTGACCAGGAACGGTGGGGTGGGGTCGAGTGGGGGCTGAAACAAACACCAAGAAGATAGGGATGGAAACTGCAGTCAATGTCTTCAGCCTTTATTGTCACTTCAACACCAACACCCAATAAAAAAAATAGCTTTTTCGTTAAAACAATAAATGGACAAGTGTATATAAACAAGTTCTCAACAAACTCTTTTTAGGAAGAAAAATGTTATTCATCCACAGTAGGAATGCATCCCCAGTTTATGTAAATGTAAATGATTGATTAAATGATAGGTGAAATTAAATGACTCATTTAATTTTACCTATCATTTAATGTCATATAAACACCATATAGACTGGGGATACATCCCAGTAGGGATAAATAACATTTCTCTTTTAGGAAATTCAATTTCAATCGAATTCTCACAATAAAATATTTTATATGTAATTAATTTAAAAAGTTTTCGTACTTTTCAACCGCTCATCCTAAAAAAAATCACTATCTGAAAACTTATTTTCCAAAAAAAAAAAACTTTTTAATGGACATTAAACAAAGGCTAAGAGACTTTTTATCGTTTTCACGAACTTATGAGACTTGTCAAGCAGCAAAAGCACATATTCCATATTTGCCTCTTAATTTTTTCTTGAATCTTTTTCAGGTTATTCCAAAATATTTTCTTAATTTTACCTAATTGAATCTTTGCTAAACTTAGCATGTAAATATATTCTAAATAGTAAATACTTGGAGAGTGGGAAGTAGTTTAATAAATTGTTCCAGTGAATCTGGAAAAGTTGGCAGGTTCAGGTACTATGAATTTCCTTAGACAAAAAGGAACCCCGGCCCCAACTGCATTCAATTCTCCTTAAGAGACTCAACAAAGCGGTAAGCGAGCCACTTGCCACCAACAATTCCTGTTGTGAGTTGTGACAGACAAACCCTATAAAGAAACACCGCCTTATGTAGAAACCTAAATCACTCAAATATCTATCTCATCAATTTATTGTTGAATTGTTAACGTCAAAATCTGTCGGAAGATACTGGTTGAGGTTATATGTACACATAGAATTTACCGAATTCAGTAAAAATAAAGCACCGTAAGACCACTTGAAATGGACCGAGCTAGATGGCTAAATTAGGTCATATATGTTTCTCAGCAAGTTCTTGAAATGGATATGATTGACTAATTATCAAGTTAAACAAACATGACTAAGACAAAAGAGAAAGTTTTGATGATCTGATGATCATCTCATATAATATAATACATATCGTCGTTCCATTTGATGTAACATCTTATTAGGAATCATGGGCCAATCAGAAAAAAACACTTGAAAACAAACATTACAATGATATTAACATTAGGTTTCTTTATTTTTTTCATTCAACACATTACATCCTTGAGAAGCTTGTACCTGCGTGTGGTAGTCCGGGGTGAAGGCGTGCTAGTCGGGCTCTTTCCGACCTTCTCCGTGCCCTCTTCGCGATCATGCTTGATTTTGTTGCTCGAGTAGGCTGATCGTACCGCATTTGTATGCATAGATTTGCTTGAAGAATTTCCGTGCTTCGAATTTCTTCCCTCACTTTGACACCAGTCGCATACTTCAATAGGGTCGGCCAATGATCTGTAATAGTTGCTGCAATACCTGCAAAATTAGAAAATTTAGCGTAAAAAAAACAAGGGCTATCGACATGTTTAATAATTAAAATCTTGTTTATTATACTTTGTACCAAGAATGAACGACTTGTATTGGAAAGAAAGAAATCACATGGTATGATGTATAATGAGTTCTTGGTGATGAGGTTGTTCCCTTTGACCAAGATGAACATAGGTGACAGCCGCCGGTGGCAGCGGTGATGCTGGTGGCTAAGAAGAAAGTGTTGGTCGGCGGGGGATGGGGGATCATGCTTTACTTCCACTAATGATGCCAAAACTACATATAAAATTCAACATTGGGGTATGTGCCAGTGAACTTGAACATCATCATAAATTTGCATGAAAATTACAGTGCAGGCACTGGCAATCACATACACAGACATGTATGTAATATACGAAGAGATGATAATTAATTAATTTGACGACAGAGAGTGGCGGGGCGTACGAGTGTTGGAAGCGGTTGCCGCAGTTTATGCAGCGGAAGAGCTTGTCGGGAAAGCCCACATCGCCGCACATACAACACACAGTCTGCTGATCCACCATTGTTGAACACCTTCAGTTTTAATTGGTCAAGAAAATCACAGCCGAGGACTAATTAAAAAGAGAAGAAAAAGTAAGGAAGGAGGCAGAAACTTGGAAGGATATGAAGAGAGGAGTTATGGTCCTGGTTCCAGTCCAAGTCAGTGTGCGCATCTCATTTATACAGATGCTCATAATTTATCCTCGTCTTGCCCTTGTTTGAGCACACTTTTTGACTAAAAAAAAAACAATTTTAAATTGTATTTTGATCCATTTTAATCACATATTATTCAATAAAATAATATTATACGTACATTCAAAATTTTTCTTTATTTTTTAATCACACGTTTCTCATCAATATACCATTCAAAAATACTTTTTTTTCTCAAAAATGGGCTCAAACATCTGAAACAAGTCCCGTAGTAATGATTTTTTCAATTATACAACTGAATATTTAAAATAATAAATTAATGAAAGTAATGCTTCTTGTGGGTCCGTCTAATTTTCATTTGACACTAAAACCTAGGCGGCTATTTAAAAAAATGCAAATGAGTTAATTTCAACAATAGTCATTGAAGTTTGTTATAAATTTCAAAAATGGTTAAGAAAGTAATTTTTTTACAGAAATGGTCTCTTAAGTTTGTGAAAATGATCACACGGTTGTAAATTCAGCTCCTGTTTGACAACCATTATTTCAAAAAATTTTAATTCTTATATTCATTTTCAACCACACGTTTACACGATAAAATGTTTAGCAAATAAACTCAAAACGTTTTCGAACTTTTTTAACCACACACTCTTCAAAAATTTACTATTTAAAACTTCATCTTCTCAAAATAACAGCTGTCAAATAGGAGCTCAATGAAAATTCCCCGATTTTCATCTCTGATTTTAACCACCCTTTTGCCATACTTTTTATCATCGGTCAAAATAGAAAAATTAAAATTAAATAAGTTGTAATTGGGAATTAAAAATTGTTTTGATAATAAAAATGTATTTCACATAAATGCCTTTATTTATTGAAACACGAATTCGTCTAACATGACATACACATAGCAAATTAATTTTGTTAGGGTCCAAGTTAAAAATTAAAGATGACATATAAGATTTTTTTTGTTGACTTTTCCAAGAAAATGACCATTAGAGTAACCATTACAAACTTATTAATGGTGTGTTTGATCCACATTATTTTGGAAGAATGTATTTTGAAATAGTAGATTGATAGAGAATTTGTGGTTGAAAAAAAATGAAAAGTTATTGATGCGATGAAAAATATTATTTTATTGAAGAATGTGTCATGTGTGNAAGAAGGAAAAATTATTGATGTGATGGAAAATATTATTTTATTGAAGAATGTGTAGTTGAAAATGAGTAGAAGAATGAGAATGAAAATTTTAATGTGTACCAAACGGGGGCTAAATGATAATTTTGAAACTTGTTACAAAATTTTAGCGACCCTGAATGTTAAATGAAGAACTTAATTCAGATGATGGAATGGAAAGACTTTAGAGATAGAAAATCATACCATGAGTGATTCGGTAGATTTCCGACCATTTGGTATTTCATTGTACGTGATATATAAGATTCATATATTTTCATATTATCTTCTACATCCAGAAAATTGTATGTTTTGAAAGAAGCTTTTATGATTTGAAAAAACCTAAATTAAAAGAAAAGAAAGAAAAGCATACGCCGCTTCGAACATAACCTCTCAAGGTTATAATTTCCATTAATTTCAGTGCCTTTTTTTTTTTTTTTCTGGCATGTGTTATGCAATTACAAGCACCTTGTTTATGTACTTTTGATAAATACGGAATTAAGGGGATGGGCCGGGCTGTAGATCGGACCAGCCCCCAGCCCATTAATTTTTTTTTTTAATGTAAAAAAGAAATTCTTGTAAAAAAATGTTTTTGTAAACTTATTTTTTTCAATATATTAGCCCGACCTGTAGTCAGGTGCTAGATCCTTCTCTGGATAAATACATTTTTATTGAATTTATATACAATTTTGAATGGATCAATATCCTTACATCTAAGATGTGCAATCATTTAATATAATTTAATTGACGTTTGCATTGTTGAAACCATTAGAGTCTAGATGAATAGTTTTATCTCCCAACGTTGAATATGATTTCTTCGTATTATGGTGTTCAACTTCCTTCCCTTGCTTCATCTAAACAACTCATTGATCTCAAGAAGATCGGGTCAGGGAAGCCCAATCCCTAACCCGTTAATTTTTTTTAATGTAAAAAAACCTTTTTGTAAATTTTTTTTTGTGTAAATTTATTTTTTTTACATATTAACCCGACTTGTAGTCAAGTCCTAGATCCTTCTCTAGATAAATATATTTTTATTTGAATTTATATGCAATTTTGAATGGACCAATATCCTTACATCTAAGATGTACAATCATTTAATATAATTTAATTGACGTATGCATTGTTGACACCATCAGAGTCTGGATGAATAGTTTTTTCTCCCAATGTTGAATATGATTTCTTCGTATTATGGTATTCAACTTGCTGTCCTTGCTTCCTCTGAACAACTCATCGATCTCAAGAAGATCAGCCCAATCCCTGGTCCGTTAATTTTTTTAATGTATAATTTTTTTTGTGTGTGTAAATTTATTTTTTCTACATATTAGTCCAACTTGTAGTCAGGTCATAGATCCTTCTCTGGATAAATATATCTTTATTTAAATTTATATACAATTTTGAATGGACCAATATCCTTATATCTAAGATGTACAATCATTTAATATAATTTAATTACCGTATGCATTGTTGACACCACCAAAGT